CAATAATTAAAATAAAAATATAATAATTTTCAAAACCAATCCGTAGTACGTTCCTGGTTTTGGCGCGACACCACCGCACCGCGTCGCGCAGCTACCCTAATTAATTAACACTCAGAAGCAATCGTTAGAGTTTGGTGCTACGCCGAATTGCTTAATTGGGTAATAACGGCTGTAATAAAATTTAATTTAGGAAATTGATTTTCTACAAAATTGCTTTCTTTAGTAATTTTAAGTTTCACAAAATTCAACAAGTTGTATGAAATACTCTATACTCTATACTCTCTCTGCGCTGCGTATTGAGTATTGGCGCTCAAAAAATTTCACTTACGAACAGCTATTGTATTTATATAAAATGATCCCAAATGGAGATTAAAAAAGGAAATCCATTATTTAAGACTGCATTAAAAAAATTTTTATTACATGCATATTTATTTACTAAAATAGAAAATAATCGCTTAACTTTTTAAGAAAATCGATTGTCAATTCTATTTTTAACGAAAAGCATTGCACACATGTGATAATTTTAAATTGGATGCATCTGGCTATTAACGCCAGTTATTAAACTGCATGATCTTTATCAAAATAAGCAGCATACATCAGTGCAATTGATGTATAAAACGAGACGGGATATGCTCCCAGAAAATAGCATATTTGCAGCCGGGTACCACCGTCATCGGTTGAATTCGCGATGCGTAGCATCAGTCGGTGGTTTTCCCACCTGCACAAGGCAGGCCGACTTTGACGAGAAGTTTAAGCTACCACGAAATGGCAGGATTCTACGTGGATTCCAAAGATCGGAATTCTGCCATTTTGGTCTGAGCGCACACACTTAATTGACTTTCGCTTCGTTTATTCTTACCATTTTTTTTTTTTTTTTTTTTTTACATGACAGTTGTATCGTACGAATCGTATTCTAACTATATTATCATTGTACATACTACTCAGTACGCACAACATAATACTCATGCGGCTAATTAACTGTTATATTGCCAAGTTTGGTTATATATATATGGTCTCTTATTTATTTATTCGTTATATATGTATGCGTCCCCCTTTATATTCCCTTTTTTTTTTTTTTTTTTTTTATTATTATATATATTATCCGACTTCGATCTGGTTCCAAAAATTGTGTGGCAATCCTAGTCGGAATATGCTCTGCATAGGATTGCAGCCACAGTTGCAAGATGTGTCCGAATATATTTTTGAATTGCTCCGATGACCATCTACCCAGGCTTTGAACTAATGGTAATTGTACACCTCGCAGTACCAATTCCGTTGTGCCCCGAGCGCGAAATCTATGGCCTATGACATTGGCATCTGGTAAAAGTGACTTAAGGTTGTCTATGAACCAACTTTTGGTGGCTAAAACCCCACCAACCTTGATAAAGAGTGTTCCTTTCATCGGAGCATACGCTGTGCTAGTTCTGAGAATCGTATAAGCTTTCAGAGCAAGAATTGGGCATAGATCATCTTTAGTGGGGTTGATTATTAATATTGGCCATTCAACAATTTTATGACTCTTTGTTCTGGGCAGTTGGATTGTTGCAAATGTGTCTGTACCCGCCTTCTCAAATCTCAAGGCCTGAATCGTAGGTACCTTTGTTGTATCCTGGTGTGATCTGGGCAGAAGTTCACCTAAACAGGCCAAACCATAGAATGCTATGAGTGCTATTGTCCAAAATAGTAGGCTGTCAGAGTTATTTAGGTCTAAGTTTGTCTTTATTTGCAGTAGTTCGTCTCGAGTAATATGTTCTTTTTGTTGAGTTGGTTTGAAAGTGTGATTATCCTCTATGGTCTTTAAGAGTTGCCTGATTAGTGGATCATGACGTGTTTGATTCCATTCAACATGATTCATTGTATGGTGGTGCTTTAACGCTGATAAGTATGATATGATAGTTGCTGGTGCAACTTTTGGATGTAAGTACATAATAAACTTAGCAAGGCTTCCTTTTGATACTGGCCATGTGATTCCATCATTGTTCTACTATCCGTTTTCAGCAACCAACCTTTCATACCGTTTAATAATAGCTGAATATGTGCGGTATCTTGGTGAATTTAGGCCCAACATTGCTTCTGCCTGTTCGTTGAGTGGTAGTTCCTTAGTAAAGCTTTTGATTGATTGTGTTTGTAGTCTGTGCAGCATGGTATCTGGACCTAAAAGTTAAGTGATGGAATTGTATTTATTAGGTTAGTATATTCATTAGGAATTACAAGCTGTAGATAACATGCAAGTAGATTTTGCTTTCTGTACTGCTTGTGCCCATTCCATGACAATAAATCTGCTTCTGTGTTATTCTTTCTGGGAATATGCTCTAATTTGATTGAATAGTTTCCATTAATTTGTGCTAAGTATATGCTTGCTATTATTTTGTTTATATTTGGGTTTTTGCAAAATCCAGCATAAAATGCTTCAGAATTCGCTTGATTGTCTGTCCACATAATCAAACGTTTCTGCATCCATAATGGTGCAAATGTTAGCATTGCTATCAAACATGTCAGTAGTTCACGCCATTGAATAGTGTGCTTCTTTATGTCTATTGCTTGAGACCAGTTAAATGCTGTAAAATAAATCTCATATGTCACCCCTCCTTCTAAATTGGATGTGTCTGTATACAAATTCAATGTGCTTGGTTGTAGCCATTCTCTGTCCTCCATGAAGTATACACCAGGCCATTGGGGAATCATCTTGATCCACCATCTTATATCTGCTTTCATAGGGCTAGTTAATTTTATATGAAATTTGGATTTATTATTATTCTCTAATATCTTTATAAAATGTTGGACAAACGGTCTGCCTTAAGGAATTGTTTGACATAACCACATTAAAGAGCCAATTAATAATTGTAACTCTTTTTTATAGCACCATTCTTTACCACGCCATTCTGTAAGCATTTCTATGATCTTTAACTTTTTTTCATTTGGAATTGAGGCTGAAAGTGTGTTTGTATCGATACGAATTCCCAAGAATGTTAATGCTGTACTTGGTCCTTCTAATTTAGACTGTTTGTATGGAATATTTAATATTTTAAGTATATGTAGAAATTGATCAAGTTCTTGCTGTGCACTTGTTTTAGATATAATTAAAAAATCATCTACATAATATATTATCGATTTTATCCCATGTTGTATTATAATCCATGTAATAGTATTAGCAAAATGGCAAAATATTCCACCTGATGTCTAATTCCCAAAGGCAAGTGCCTTATCAAAGTATATTTCATCCCTATCTCGCATTCCTTGCAATACTTGATTAGCTGGGTGTACAGGCAAAATGCGGTAAGCATCCTGTATATCAATTTTTGATAGCAGACAGCCATGACCATATTGAATTATCCACCCGATTGCATGGTTGAGGTTCTCATATTTAGTTGCAAATTCAATTTGGTCAATACTATCATTTATACTTATTCTATAGAGTGCAGATAAATGAGATATTACTCGATATGCCTTTGGATTAGAATATCAAAAGGCCCACATATCCGTCCCATAGCTATTTCATTATTTATATATTTTGTTAATGCAGATGGTTCAATTTCTATTAACTTTAGGTTCTCTTGAATTAGTTTAATTTGCTTTCCAGAAAAATTAAACCTAAAGCCAAACTCTAAACCTTCTTTTATATATTGAATAAATGGTCTATTCGGATGTTCTTGTATTAAATAATCAAAGACTATTTTATTCACTAGTGTTGTTTATGTTAAACTGAGACAGATTAAGCTGTGCTATTATTGCTTCTTCTTCTTGTGATAGTGAAATCTTTTTTGGAGGTTGTGTTTTGATTGTTTGGTTTACTGATTGTAACTTTGGTTCAGTATATGCTGTAATTGCTTTTGATGCTTTAAATCGTGCTGCATATTTAAGCTTCACTTCTTTATTGCCCAATATTGTTGCTATAGCAGACATAATTATAAATTGTTAATGTTAGTTATATATATGTTTTTTTTTTGTTTTTTTTTTTTAGTTTTCTTCTTTTTTTTTTCGTCTATTTTTTTTTTTTTTTTAACTGTTGTTACGTTGCTCATTCTTTAATGGGCTCACTGATGAATTTGCTTTTCTTAGTTCTGGATGCTTGCGAAAGCAATTCTTTTCACTATGTCCCATCTTTTTACATGTAAGACATGCATGAATTCTGTTACAACTTCTTTCATCTGCACATGTTTTTCTATTTCAATTAATACATATTTCCTTGACATCATTCCATGTTGTACTTGCCCAGTTGCTATACTGCCATTCAACTCTGGTTCTTTTTATAGCTGCTGCATCAAAATTTTTCCCTTCAGCTTCGATATCTTTATCTATCAATGTCGATTTGCGGTTCATTACCAATGCTATTCTCTAGTCTTCATCATATCCCATTACAGCTGAAAACTTGAATCTGGTACACAGTTCATTTATATAATCTCGATATGTATTTAATTCTAGTTCTCGATTCTCATAAATTATAAGTACTGCATCCATGTATGCTTTGAATGCTAGCAACCATTCTGATATACTTTCGAATGTGGTGGTTTGCTTCTGTTTCTTAACTGTTATAACCCCTCCTTCTACTGTTTGTAGAACCGTATCTGCTTGATGTTGTTGATTAGATTTTTGTATACAAATTCTTGAAGGTCTACAAAAAGACCAAGTGCTATTGACTTTCATAGCTTATTAGGCAAACTCGGCTTTTGGGGCAGGATCTCGATTCTTTTTTGCCCTTCTGACCAATTAGCAATCCACCATAGTTGGATCTGTTCTGTTTCGATAGCTTGTTGATTTTGAAAACCGGAAATTGTATAGGTTTTCTCTTTTGGCGCATATATTAGTAATGGGTACTTTCTATTCGTTGTTTTGTAATTTACTTTTCCCATATTGCTCGCAGCACCATTGTCCTGACTTTCTGAATTCAACCTCAAAATCAAGTTATTGATTGTGGGTGTTGAAGAGTAATTACCGTGTTCTGCTTTTGTGTTTTTCTCTCTTTTTGTATTGTCTTGGTGGTTGTTTTGCTGAGTATGTAATTGTTCCATTGCTATATTATGCTCCCTTGATGTGCTCTGCATGTTGTTGCGTGGAATAGCTTGCTCTAGTTGTGTGAATCTTTGATTAACTGTTTTCATAAGCTGAGTATTCCATCGCTACTGGGTTTCAGCTTGTTGGTCCATAAACTGCTGCATGCTTCGCATTATCAATGCCAAAGTTGCCTGAATTGCAGCATCTGCATAGGTCTTTAACTGTGTCTCTACGTCTGTCACTAGTTCTTGTATTTCCTGATTGGCTAAAACTGTTGCTACTGTTTCCATTGAATCGTTAGATGTGATACTATCACTTCTATTTTTTGCCATACTTCTAGTTTGTTTACTCATTCTTTGCGAATCTTGCTTCAGACAGAGATGGCTGCTAATTCCTTACGGCGGCATCTTCTTATATATACTCCTAACAATGAGATATTGTTAGTTATTTTATTACAGTTCTTGATTAGGCAATTCATTAACTCCTTTACTTATCTGGCTTCATGATTCTCTCACACTGCTAGATTGAATTCCCAATTAGGGTTATCAGCTAATTCAGGCTTAACCGGATTGCTTCCGGCATATCCCTGCTTAGCCATCTTTTCGATCTATTGACTTACGTCAACTTGAATTTATTCTCATGCTCCTCAATTAATTAGAAAAAACCAATAACGATAAAACCCAATTTTTGAATAAAAACTCTTTAATTTATTTAGTTGGCACTATATATGTGTGCCTAAATTATTTTTGGCTTGCCGTACATAAAAATTGCCAAAAATATTTTAGGTGCCTAAACCGTAAATAATATCGGCTGTCTAAATATTTTTAGCTGCCTAAAATATTTCCGGCTGCCTAAAATAATTTCGGCTGCCTAAAATAATTTGACTGCCTAAAATGGTTTACAGCTGTTTCATAAATTCTGAGACACTCTAAAATATTTGCTGAAGTTTATTTGGCTGAATTTTTTAAGTTATTGATTTCAGTATGATTAGTGCATGATCAATATATAAAAAAATTATTGAGTTACTATTACAGCAACAACAACTCTTTAGCATTTTATTAAAATTTTTTTTTGCCTTATCCAATATATATGATACAAAAATTTATGCCAAAAAAAACTGTTCTTACCAATTAATAGATCTTCACTAAAAAAAATTTGAACATATTGGACTTTCTTAATAGACATATAAACAGTATTGAATTTAAATGATCTATAAATAAAACCAAATTTTTATTTCAAGTTTGTTTTGATGAATCTTTTTATTATATAATTATCTTTGGTAACTTATAATATAGTAAATTTGTTTATTAAAATATACTGTCTCTATACAAAATTATAAAAAAAAAAATAGAAAATTTGCCTTTTTAAAACATAACACTCTGAGTAGACACTAAAAAAAAAAATCAAAAAATTGCCTTTTTTAATACTAATACTCAGAGTAGGCACTAAAAAAAAATAAAAGGTTAAATATGATCAGGGCTATAAAAAAATGCAACACAAATTAAAATCAGAGATCAAGAATTTATTAATATTTGCTGACTATGTATTAATAATTATAATAAAGTTCAAAGTATATAATGTTTATTTAAAATGATAATGGTAATTCATTAACACAGCTAAACCTTTAAATTGTTTGAGAACTTGACCCACAGAAGACCTGTTAACACCCAAATGTTTAGCAATTACTCTAACTGAAGCCTTCTAAGTTCTTTTAATTGATAGTTTATTTATAATCAGCACTGTTTTTATAGTAAGAATTGGGGCAAATTTCATATAAGTTTTATAATAGAGTGGAATCTGGCTTTAGCTTAAAGCAAAGTCTTTCTTTTATTAAGTTAGCCTTTCTTCAAGCTCTAACAAAGTTGTAGAGCTCATTTTTGCGGTTTAAATAGTGACAAAATCATTAAAATTGGCCTTGTGGTTCTTGAGATATTGTAACTTTTCTTTCTTTGCACATATAAAACTTCTTAACAATATTGTAAAGAAGTTTTATATGTGCGAAAAAAGAAAAGTTACAATATCTCAAGAACTACAAGGCCAATTTTAATAATCTTGCCACTATTAGAACCACAAAAATGAGCTCTACAACTTTTGTTAGAGCTTGAAGAAAGGTTAAATTAGTAAAAGAAAGACTTTACTTTGGCTGAAGCCAGATTCCACTCTATTATAAAACTCATATGAAATTTGTTCCAATTTTTATTATAGTAGTAATATAGCAATAGTGCTGATTTTATCTGAATTAGCAATTAACTATTTTCCAATGAATTTGTTTTGAAAGATCATAATAACAAACACATATGTATTATGAATTTATATATGTATAATACCGAAATCAAGAGCTTATCAAATTCGGCCGAATAGACCTTGGCAAATTTTTTAGGATGTCCCTTATAGGGAGATATTCATCTGATTGGTTAATTTTTGGAGATCTACCTGTGAGTCTCCATAATAATTAACCAATCAAAATATCATTTGATCAATTATATAATTTATACATAATTTATACAGTTTAAAGTATTTTATTCAACTTTCAAGTCTTTCTAGTCTCTAATAATTTTTGCCATAACAAAAATAATAAAAGCATAACAGAGCATTTATTTAAAGAGAAAATATGCTGTGACTTACTGGACCATGTACTATTACTATTTACTGAAAAGCTTTAACTCAATAGAGAAGGGTTTCTAAAAGTTTTCTTTCTAAAGCCCATTCTAACTATACTTTACCAAGTTATCTTCAATTAGGTGACACAGTTTGCTCAAACTGTTATAATGGCATTGCCGTAAACAGTTCAATTGAATTTAAAGAGCATTCTAAAAAGATCAGATTTGTCGACACTGAAATTGAAGTTGAAAATACTAACTTCACTTTGTCTTTTTCTCAAGCAATAGAGTTGTTAACAAATATTTTATACAAGCGAGAGGTTAAAGAAAAAGAGCTAACAATATATTTATTTGATGAATTTAAGACAACTATGGAACAGGAAGATAAAAGATTAAAGTTGTTTTTTAAGAAATTGTATTTATCGTCTAATCTGCTTTCTAAAAATAAAGAATTACAGATACAAATAAAAAAGCAGCTTTTATTCACTTGTTATTTTTTTTGTAGAATTTAGAACAAGTTTGTAAATAATATAAAGAGTTATGTGGCAATATATTTGGATTTTGTTAGTGCATTTAATTCTTCTATAGATACTCTTGCCGATTTAGATGTAGCAACAACGTCTTGCACAGTTTTTCGGCATAAAACAACCATATCCAAAAAACATGCCAGTACTGTTGATTCAGCACTTGCACAATATATAGAAAGTGCAATGGTCTTAAACATTGATGATTATCACAGCATCCATACAAAGAGAATGCCAAATACAACTACCACTTCGGACACTGCACACCTGGCAACGATTCTAATAAATCCAATTGCAACACAACAGGCAGTTTCGAAAATAAATATTCACAACTCTCTTTTAGTCAATGCTAAATTAATTAAAATTAATATGGCAAATAAGTTTATGAAGTTTTTTTGGTTTTCACATAATCATTGTTGGGTTTTTGGGTAGTAGATGATAATTATGATACTAGGTTGAAGGAAAAATGAAGCACACATTCTATGAAAGACACCATTCTTACAGATTTGCAAAAAAGCGACCTTTACACCACTGATGCATATATTAAAGCTATTAATGCTATCACAAGCGCTCCGTATATGCAACAATATATAGAGAGTAGAAATGTTATACCTGTTGTTGCTGATTGGCCTGGGCAAATTCATCTTCGAAAAGCAATTTCGCGTTATTTGTTATATCAAGAATTATCAAATATTACTGACAAAATATTATCCTTTATTCCCATAATAGGTCCTCTTCACATTTCGTTGAATAGTTGAAAACTAGTATTTCTTCAGTATTGGCCTTTTTTTTTGCTATGTATAAGTATATCTTTGGAGAATGGAAGCCTCTTGCACAAAACCCCAAGCCATAACAAATCAATCTTCTTTTGGAGATTTCCCGTAGTGTTTGGCAAGAGATTGCTTTAACTGTTAAAGCAAAATTTGGTTCGTATAAGGATATCTTGCACTCAAGGATCTTCTTGATAATATAATTCCACTTGTGCTAAATATTTATGCTGTATTCTTCCGTTCTGGCGATTTTGACTCATATTTTGAGTCTTGTTTTCAGGTTTGGACTATGTTTCTTAAATTTCAGCACAAAAATTACACAAAAGCGCCGCTAATGTTTCTTTATGACTTATTTTATTGGGAGTTAAATAACCATCTGATTCTAGATACAATCAAGAATGAACTTCCAAAATTTTTAGATTCAATGGTTGAGATATTTCATAGCTTTCTGCATAGAGACACACAGAAGCACACCGAAGCAGAGCAAATAATTAAATTTGAGTATTATATTAATTGACTACATATTAATATTAATGGGTTTAAAGAAAATTTTGTGTGTACATCTAGTTGGGCAATGCAAGAGTATTCGGCGCAAGATATAACAGTATTGACTAAAAAAAGCACTTGTTTTCTTTTACAATGGTTTTCTGAAATTTATTTATGTTTTTTATCATCATAATTTATCAATATCTCTTCCTTCACAAACAGGTTTATCTTCCAAAAGAAAACGTGATAAAAATGTTGAAACTATTCCATTAATCATGATGAAGATGCCAGAAGTGCAACTATGCACCTTCCTTTGGGGTTTAATACTTCATGTAAACCAAATTCTTCTCACTACTGTGATTCATCTAACTGTCTTTCTTTTTCTGTTAATATAGGTACCATTGAAGTTCTAGTCTGTGGTCATATGTATTATAAATTTTGTTATTACTACAATGGATCTAAATGCATGCACTGCCTCTCATTCTTACAAGATGGCATTGATAAACATGTTCAGTCCTTACTAGAAAGACTGAGAAATCTTGATAATAGTAAGAAAAAAAATAAGGAAAAGAAAGTAATTGAAGAATCAAAAAGAATACTTCTTGTGATGACGATGAAGAAGTTGAACATGTAAATTATAGAGCACTTTCATTAGAGCAGGCATTACAAAAATTTCAAAGTCAATAAATAAATATTTTGTATTATATAGTATTAAAATTTTGAATCTTTATTATAATAATTTTATTAAATTACAAAATAAATAAATTACAAAATAAATTAAAATAAATTAAATTAAATTAAAAAAATAAAATGCAATATATTAATTTCACATATTGGTTCATGTGTAAGAATGCAACAAGATCTAAAATCTGACGAAGTAATCTCTGTAAATAAAGTAAATAATTAAATTAAATTAAATTTTAAAAAAAAAATAAAATGCAATATATTAATTCGAATATTAATTCATAAGAATGCAACGAAATCTAAAAATCTAACAAAGTAATCTTTTTCATCAAACCTTACAGTAGAGCCTCTTGTTTGCTTTTTAGTAAACTGTTTTTTGGAATTCAGACATACAGTATAGCACCTATATATAAATAAATAAATTAAATTAAATTAAAAAAAAAAAAAAAAAATACAATTTCATATTAATTTGTAAGAATGTGACAAGATCTAAAAATCCAATGAAGTAATCTCTAATATAGAAGAAAAAGATATTTAGATCCATTATTAGCATAAGTAAATAGTAAATACAAAGCTTTTTACTAAAACTTATAATAGAGCCTCTTGTTTGCCTTTTAGTCGACCTTTTTTTTTGGAATTCAGACATATATAGTACTTATATATAGCTATATATAAGAATATATAGAGAAGTTCGCTTCTAAGTAAAGTTCTTGGAGTTAGTGATTATTTTTAATTATTTTTACCTAGTGAATATAGACACTTTGCTGAAACGAAAAATAGCTTTTGTGGTGATTTTTACTTAGTGAAATATCAAGTTCTTAAAAAGTACTTTAAAGTGTATAAATAAGTTACCTGGACAATTGATTTATGTTATCCAATCAAATAAATGTCCGACTATGAGAATTTATGAAAACAGCTGTAAAACATTATTAAAAAATTAATATACGTATTAGTGATAGGCATATTGGCAAAAAAAAAAGATCTTTATAAAATTTTAATACTGTATATATTAC